GTCTGTTCTAACAGAGAGAGAGAGAGAGAGTAGAGAGAGAGAGAGAGAGGAGAGAGGAGAAACAGACAGACAGACAGACAGACATACAGAAAAACAGACATACAGATAGACAGACCGACAGAGAGACAGACAGACAGACGGACGGACGGACGGACGGACGGACGGACGGACGGACGGACGGACGGACGGACAGACAGACAGACAGACAGACAGACAGACAGACAGACAGACAGACAGACAGACAGACAGACAGACAGACAGACAGACAGACAGACAGACAGACAGACAGACAGACAGACAGACAGACAGACAGACAGACAGACAGAGTTTTATCTGGGAATTCAAACGCTTTAATTTCTAACAACTTGGAATCGGTAGGACATTTTCAAGTAAATTTTGCCTCGGAACTTGAACGCTGCCTTGAAAACCGAACGCCTGACGCTAGCTATCCACAAAACAGAGCCGCTTATGCTTCAGTTTGTGTCCTCCTCCCCTCTGCTGATTGGGTCGCATCTCTGCTTGTCTCTTCGTAAGATTATCGCAGCTAATTTTAGGAGTTTGTGTCTTGTTGGCCTATTATTTTTGTATTTATTTATTTATTTATTTATTTATTTATTTATTTATTTATTTATTTATTTACTTATTTATTTATTTACTTATTTATTTATTTATTTATTTATTTATTTATTTATTTATTTATTTATTTATTTATTTATTTATTCATGTATTTATTTATTTATTTATTTATTTATTTATTTATTTATTTTCTCATTTATTAATTTTTAATTTTTTTTTCTTATTAATTTATTTTTTTATTAATTCATTTTTTAATTTATTTATACAAAAACTTAATTATTACTTTAAAAAATACGAAATAAAGAAGCTACTGTTTGGTTTACAAACTTCAACTGCTACAACATGCTGAAATCTAGAATACAATCTGGAAATAAAGTATATTATACATCTCAACATCTGCTAAAGTCAAAGAGTCTGTCTCGCAACACCAAGATCCAAATATATAACACGTTGATAAGGCCAGTCGTTTTATATGGCTCTGAAACGTGGAGCACAGCTAGAAGAGATGAAGCCTTATTGCAGGTTTTGAAAATAGAGTCTTACGACGAATCTGTGGACCCATCAAAGATGCAAACAGTGGGGAATGGAGAGTAAAAAATAACAACGAAATTCATAATCTGTTTAAGGGGTCACTACACGGAATTTTTTCCAATTTATGACAAAAATATCACTTTTTCAATGTGTTCATTTTTGTAAAGTTCGGCATTCGTAGAATAGATGACACACAAAATTTATGTCATTTGTAAACAATTTAGCATTAAAAAGTTAATACTAACGACACCTCCTCGTGCACTTTTTTAAGAGAGAAAAAAGTTTAAAAGTCAGTTTTCTCAAATCTCTGTATTTCAGTTTGCTGTGTGTGTGAAATCCTAAAATCTAAGCTAATATAAAGAGTAGAAACATGAAATTTTGTATGCATACTCCGTAAACAATATTATAGGGACTGGTCTATCTAAAAGTAGATTTTAGAAAGTTTTTGTTTTTTAAAATTTGATTATTTTCCGATGATGCTAGATTTTTTTGACTTTTTCAATAAACCTACTAAAATTCTACGAAAAATATTTAAAAACATGTTTGAAGTAAATAAACTAGACCTGTACCTGTAAATAGGATCAAAGGTCACGAATCCATCATCTATTGTTGAATACCTATGTTTGTTTTAAAAATTTTAGGATCCTAAGTACATATTGTTTTTTTCACAAGATGGCGGCTATTGCCATGACAACTATGAATTTTTCAACACTTAAAGTATACAAATGTAATAACTTGTATCCCTACAAATGACCATTATAAAATAACTGCTCTAACTCTGTAAATAAAAAAATAATTTTTTTTGGTGTAATCACCACTGATTACTGGCATCATGAGAATTAATAGACTGAAATGGTTGGGGCATATTGAAAGAACGTCAGATGACAGAGAAGTGAAAACTATACACAAAGAAGATGAATGGTAGTAGATCACGAGGCAGAACAAGAGGACGATGGAGAGATAATGTCCAGAGAGACTTGCAAAAACTTCTTTTCACCAACTGGAAAGAGAAGGCCAAAGAGAGAGATGAATGGAGGCGGGTGATATCTGCAGCAATGAATCTCAAGGGCTCGGAATGCTGAAAAAGAAGATGGTTGGTTTAAACAAAATGCAGGGTTGAAAAACATTGTAATAGAAAAACCTGTCTTAGAACAGTTCAAATTATAATACTTTTTTTTAAATCGCTAAGCATGATTGTGGTATTTGTGTGTGGGAACTTTGAGTTTCTTGAAGCCTGGAACAAATTAGTATAGTTTCCCTTATTTTCCGTGCGAAAGGATGCCTAGGAATTCGAACGATTTGGAATTCAAGCACTGTCTCGGAACACTGCATATAGTGTATATATATATATATATAATATATATATATATTATATATATATATATATATATATATATATATATATATATATATATATATATACTGTGTGTATGTGTGCTTGTGTGTGTGTGTGCATATGTGTCTTTATCTGAGAGACCAGCTTTGTATGTGTGTATGTCTTCATCGGAAAAACCACTCTGAGAGTTCGTATGTGTGTCTATGTGTGTGTAATATATGATTAATTCAAAGATTAAACTCTACCCGTATATTATTTGACAGATAAAATAATGGTGTTTATATATGTGTGTGTGTGTGTATGTCTGTGTATGCGTCTGTGTGTGTGCGTGTATCTTCATCTGAGAGACAAGCTTTGTGAGTGTGCATGTGTGCAAGTTTGTGGCATATCTAACTGGGCAGTAGCATTCATATTAAGACTTGAACCCTAGAACTCTGTTATCTGACAGATGCAAGAAAGGTCATTTTGCTGTTGGGGTCACCCACGGAGCATGCGATCTCAGCACGGGCACCTGGACCATTGACCCTCCTGTCTGCGTCGGTAGGAGCTGATTCTTCTTCTTACAAATATCATATTTGTCATTAGTATTTCTTTTGGACCTTTCCCCTCCCCTTTTTTAGTCTCTCTCTCCCTCTCATTATTTATCTTAGTTGCTCTGTCTCTCTGATCTCATTCTCATTTTATCCGAGTCTTTTTACCCGTCTCTCTATCTCATTCTAGCTATTTTTTTTTTGTCTCTGTCACTACCTCTCCATTTCACTCTCACTTTATCGTAGTCTCTCTCACTGTCTCTCTATCCCATTCTTACTTTATCTTAGTTTCTGTCACCGTCTCTCTATCCCCTTCTTACTTTATCGTAGTCTCTCTCACCTCCTCTCTATCCCATTCTAACTTTATCTTAGTTTCTGTCACCGTCTCTCTATCTCATTATCACTTTATCTTAGTCTCTCTAACTGTTTCTCATTCTTTCTTTATCCTAGTCTCTCTCACCGTCTCTCTACCTCATTCTCACGTTAACTTAGTCTCTCTCACCGTCTATATCTCATTCTCACGTTATCTTAGTCTCTCTCATCGTCTATCTATCTCATTCTTACTTTATCTTAGTCTCTCTCACCGTCTCTCTATATCATTCTCACTTTATCTTAGTCTTTCTCACTGTCTCTCTACCTCATTCTCACGTTATCTTAGTCTTTCTCACCATCTATCTATATCATTCTCATTTTATCTTAGTCTTTCTCACCGTCTCTCTATCTCATTCTCACTTTATCTTAGTCTTTCTCACCGTCTCTCTACCTCATTCTCACGTTAACTTAGTCTCTCTCACCGTCTATCTCTCATTCTCACGTTATCTTAGTCTCTCTCATCGTCTATCTATCTCATTCTTACTTTATCTTAGTCTCTCTCACCGTCTCTCTATCTCATTCTCACTTTATCTTAGTCTTTCTTACCGTCTCTCTACCTCATTCTCACGTTATCTTAGTCTTTCTCACCATCTATCTATATCATTCTCATTTTATCTTAGTCTTTTTCACCGTCTCTCTATCTCATTTTCACTTTATCTTAGTCTTTCTCACCGTCTCTCTACCTCATTCTCACGTTATCGTAGTCTCTCTCATCGTCTATCTATCTCATTCTTACTTTATCTTAGTCTCTCTCACCGTCTCTCTACCTCATTCTCACTTTATCTTAGTCTTTCTCACCGTCTCTCTACCTCATTCTCACGTTATCTTAGTCTCTCTCACCATCTATCTATATCATTCTCATTTTATCTTAGTCTCTCTCACCATCTATCTATATCATTCTCACTTTATCTTAGTCTCTCTCACCTTCTATCTACCTCATTCTCACTTTATCTTAGTCTCTCTCACCTTCTATCTGTCTCATTCTCACTTTATCTTAGTCTCTCTCACCTTCT